CAGTGTGATGCCGTCTTTCTTGATTTATCGAAGGCATTTGATCGTACCAGCCATCGCCTCCTAGCCTCATGTCTGTCCGGTTGGTGTGCACCTGACTCATTCGCGTGGCTGATGGACTTCCTGGAAGGCCGATCGATGTCTGTGCGGGTCGGCACTGCATTATCAACCCATATGTCGCTCACCGCTGGTGTGCCACAAGGCTCCCACCTAGGCCCTCTTTTACAGTATTCAACCTTTCTATCAACTCCCTTCCCAGCATTCCCCAATCCAGCGATCTGACTCTGTTTGCGGATGATTCCAACATGGTCTGCGTTTCTCCGCCTACTGTCGTACCCGCCGCGCACACTGCCTCCCTGCAACTAGACCTTGATAGATGTGTGAACTGGTCCCATAAAGCTGAAGCAGTTTTCAATGCTAACAAATGTGTCCATGTTCCCTTTTGCAGACCTAAATCAAACCCACCTGATCCCAGGACCGTCACCATGGCCGGTACGTTACTGACCCTGCCCTCTTCCCACCGCCATCTGGGCATCATCCTCACTCCTTCACTCAATCTGTCCCCCCATATTCAACACATTACAACCAAATTTCGAGGTCGGGTTTTTATTTTAAACCACATGTCCAACTTCCTTCCTTTTCCTGCTGTGAATCTTTTTGTATAAATGTTATGTTCGTCCCCTCCTTGAATATGCTGTTCCCGTTTGGATGTTTTCCGTTTCAGCCACCATGTCCACAACCCTACTGCTGCTAGAGCATACTTAAATAGTAAACTCAAGCGTCGGCCTGACTGGACGACTTCCAAAGAAGACCTCTATGTTCTGTCCTCTTGGGTATCTTTAGCATGGCGACGGCAGATTCTTGGCCTTGTCTATTTCCATCATGTATTTTCCCAATACCCCTCCTTGTTGTCTCACTTCCAGCTACCCTCTTACCAAAGCAGTATTTAGTATTGCTGTTCGTCGGTATAATTCGCAATCTATGTTTTCTTTGAAAGGTATTCCTGACTTTTGTGTCTAGGCTAACCACATCTATGATAGTTTCAATAGTTTGTGTATATGTCAGTTATAGTAGTCCCCAATGCTGCTTTTCTAATTCTCATTATGATTAGCATGCAATGTACTACCCGAAGTACTGAATTTACTTCTTCTGTACTCTATATTCTAATGTATCTTCTACCTCTTCTCCCTTACGAACATACTTTCTCATTTACCATACTTACTTAGGAGACTCCCTTCGATAGGCACCTATTTGCCTCTGGAGGATCCGTGAAATAAAAATCAATAAAAAAATCAATAATCGACGTGGAGACAACAATTTTATAATAGCTATAAAGAGAACAAATTCTGCTGTCATCGCCACACTACAACAAAGTCATGAAGGTTTACCAAAATCGATTTTCTTGTCACAATCATCAGTGGAAATCCGTGACTGAAGAGTAACCATGCTGAATCAATGATTAATATACATTCAATAATGTGTTACGAGAACAAAACAAAGTGCTAAAATAGAATGAGGGAAGGTGAGACAATAGAAGTGAAGTGAGAGCTAAGTGCAACAGGGGTGAGGAACTAATTACAACGCTAGAACTGTGTATTGAGACAAACAATCATGCTGTGCACCTACGAAAACAATCTTAACGCAACTACATGTTTCTTCTGCTTACAAAGATCAGGCTTATGCAGACGAATACAAACAGGTGAATATGGAAGAGGCAAGCACTGAACATGAACAAGGAGAAAGAAAGCTGAAGGGAACGGAATTCAACAGAGAAAACAACACGATCAACATTCAAAGACCTAGACGTTCAACGGCTAATTATTCAATGAATTATTACAGTACTGGATGTCAAGCACCGGCGAAGACACTGGGAACAGAAGATTTAACAACAACAGGAACAACAACAATAACAACAACAACAATGGTAACAAATTACCATCAAGATCAAAGGAGGAGTCAACGAACAGAGATTAAGCAACATGAAGCGAGCCTGGGACCGATCGGTGTGGATGAGGAGAATGACACGGGGGACGACACTGAGGACGAGTTGGAAGATGAGACGGAGGACGAGGTTGCGGTTGGTGGAGACGAGGAATCGGATGGTGATTGTGATCGTAAGAAGTCTGCCGTTTTTCTTCATCTGTTGTCTCACCCTAAGTGTCTGCAGGTGTATGATGATTTTAGTTTTTCTGTTCTTTGTCGTGCACGTTACGCTAGTCAGTTGAAAGTACTTGAGGCTGTTTGTATTCGTCTGCATAAGCCTGATCTTTGTAAGCAGAAGAAACATGTAGTTGCGTTAAGATTGTTTTCGTAGGTGCACAGCATGATTGTTTGTCTCAATACACAGTTCTAGCGTTGTAATTAGTTCCTCACCCCTGTTGCACTTAGCTCTCACTTCACTTCTATTGTCTCACCTTCCCTCATTCTATTTTAGCACTTTGTTTTGTTCTAGTAACACATTATTGAATGTATATTAATCATTGATTCAGCATGGTTACTCTTCAGTCACGGCTTTCCACTGATGATTGTGACAAGAAAATCGATTTTGGTAAACCTTCATGACTTTGTTGTAGTGTGGCGATGACAGCAGAATTTGTTCTCTTTATAGCTATTAAAAAAATCAATATTGTCCTAATCAATTCCGACAAGTTGTCTGTTTCCTCTCCCCTTCTGTTCAACAATATAATTATTGAAATCTTTTGAGTTTCCCGTTGGCTGTGACTTGTAACTGCATTCATGCTTTGCCAGGTAATTTTTATGAACCACGTTTCGTACAGTAACTGGGCTTCGGCGAAATGCTCCGCCTCTTTTTCTCTCTCAGTCCCTTTCTGATGACCTTGAGGTATTTTGTCACGACCTGTTTGACCCTATTTGAAGTTATATATTGTACTCCTGTGGTTTAGAAAAAGAGTCGTGCATCAGTCAAGACAAGTGTCAAGTCAGTCGGCAGGAATTACTCTGAAACGCCTGTTTGTTTAATTTCCTCTTGAAAGTGGCTCTGTCGAAAGTGTAATCCATGCAAAAACAAACCGTCAAAAGCAAAAACAAAACAAAAAATGGCCTTCCTGGATGCAGGACGAAAGGAGTGGAGATAGCTACGAGCAATAAGTCGCAGAAGCGGTACCTCCTTTCAGTCATGGCCGTACCCAAAAGGGCCTCCAGTTTGTTCGATTGTTCCGAAATTGTTGTAGACTTTGATTGGGTGTTGAGTTCTCGAGACCGCATAGGAAGATCAAGAGAGAATCAGGGCTTACACAAAGACATTTCTCACCTTATAAGAAACGCTTCGAGAGCGATTTTGAAAGACCCTTTGACTGGTGCGGTACAAAACGAGATGCTCGAGCGCAGTTGACGGATGCCGACGAGTGCGCGTGTGAGCCACTTATCTGGCTGCCACGAGAAAGCGGATTCATTTCGTTCTCTTCGCGAGCCTCATTGCTTTGGAATGCTCCACCAGTTAGTGCATAATAAACACGCAAGGATGCTTCCGCGTGTCTTAAACCTTTCCAAGTTGTCTGTTTTTCTCGCGCCTTCAGTTCGACAATGTATTTTATACTGTTTGCGTTTCCCGTTGACTGTAGTTTGTGACTGTATTCAAGCTTTACCAGCTAGTTTTTTATTATAAGCCACGTTTCTTGCAGTAAGTGGGCTTCAAAGAAATGCTCCACCCATTCTTGTCTCTCACTCGCTTTCTGAGGACCCTCAATTGTTTCCTGTTCGACCCTCTTTGAAGTTACCCGTATACAATGTACTGCTGAGGCAGCGAACTAAAATATAAACAAAAACAAAGCAAAAACAAAAAAAGAGTAGGGATTCAGAAAAAGTCGTGAGTCAGCCCAGTGTCACGTCAGTCGGCATGAAGGGCGAGCTCCTACATTTGGAGCAAACACCTTATTCGCCAACAGACTTTTGTTTAGAAAATTTGCCAAAGACTTGGTGGTTAAAAAATATTAATTTTGTTTATTTTGCCGGTGAAAGGCCGCAAAATACTAAAGTCAAAAACAATACAAAAATGGCCTTTCTAATTCCTGGGTTCAGGACGAAAGGAGTTGAGACAACTACAGTCTACATGTACATATGTACCAGCAGTATAAGTCGCTGAAGAGGTCCCTCACTTCCTGTCACTCATGGCGTACCCAAAAGGGCCTACAGTTTGATTGATTGTTCCAAAATTGGTGTAGAGCTTGGTTGGATGTTGAGTTCTCGTAACCGCATAGGAAGACCCGGAGGGAACCAGGGCTTGCGCAAGACCCTTTCTCACCTTATAAATACCGCTCCGGGAGCAGTTCTGAAAGACCCTTTCAGCCTTTGACTGGGGGAGTACAAAACGAGATGCTCGAGCGCATTTTGTGCTGACCGATGCCGAAGAGAGCGCACAGGAGCTCGTGTGAGCCACTGTTCTGGCTCCCACGGCACAAGCGACACCACAAATGGACCAGCTAGGGAATGGAAAGCTCTCCTTGACGCTGCAGTTGGAAAGATATAACGGAAGGTCCGGGCTTACACGGTAACATCAGTTATCATTCTTCTTCAGCTTGCTGGACGTGAGACTGTTCTGATTCAGAGCGACAAAAGGAAAGTAGAAACGTTGTCCCCGCCAATGGGAATTGTTTACAAAGCGAACAACATGAAGCCTCCGTTCGTGCCGGTACGTACTGCACCTCTCGAGTTGTTCCCATCCCCCTACTCATCATTCGTTTGGTGCTTTGACTTACTGTCTCTATCTCTCGTGGCTTTCCCTTACCTAACCGGAGTTAGGCATATTTAGAATTCTCTTTATGAAGTGAACTACTTTCAATCAGTGCCTCCAACTAATGACTGTGTATTGGGGCTCCCCGCTCAGTACTGTGCAGCACAGTTTGTGCGTGAAGTGTGTGATTACAGCGAGGCCGGCTGCGTTCCAACAGGCCGTGGTGTTGAGCTGCTGTGTGGACACGGGATTAATTAATTGTACTGTGTGATTTGTAATATTCCTAATTATGCTTCTTCATTTGCTTGCAGGTCTTAGTGTCGGCACTAACCTTGATGTTGGTGTGTTGGAATGCGTCCTGCGAAGCAACCCCTGCAGGATTGCGACGATGCGGAGATTGCATTGTCAGGGATTATTTTGGGCACGGAGTTCTCTTGAGCTGCAACACGAGTCAATCGAAAAGGTGAGTAGCATGTCTAAGTTATAAAAGCTTCTGTAAAAAATAAAAAAAGTAAATTATCGTATCCGTTCCCGAAGGGAACTCACGACGGCCGCTAACACCCGATAAACCCTAGCGGCAGATGCAGCGCCTAACGGTGGGGGTGAGTGGGTAAGTCTCACAACCACTGGCACAAGTGCCGAAAACGACCCCATTAGCTGCATCCATGTACCCCTTGTGCCTGGCCACAAGTTCCCAGTTGACTGTGGGTAGCAGCACGGCTGGAAAAACCGCTCCCAGGCAGGACTTGAACCAGGTACCTCTCGTATCTCAATCATGGTCTTTGACCAACCCACTGTGCCTGCCTGGAGCTTCTGTACAACATTTAAATAATCTGCGAGGAGGCAATAATTCTAAAATTAATGACATTATGGTAGTTTAGGACAGTTAAGTTGAAATTTTGAAGTTGGGCGTATGGATGTATCTTTTTCGCTACTCGTATGCACAGCACAAAAATCTAAGGGATTTGAAATTCTAATTGTATAAGGTACTGGACCTCTCGCTCTTCAGGAAGGGGGAATAGCCAATGTTGATTTTTGCAGCAAAATTTGGAGCGAAGAAGGAGAGTTTGCCGAAGGTTTCGTTTGAATTTTCGGTAGGGGTTATAGGGAATTCACACGACGCGCAAACTCACGTGTGTGGTACTCTTTTTACTCGTGTGCCCCGAGCGCGTGCAAAATCTTGATAAACTCGGTCGGAGGTCCGAGGCCCACATTTGTGCTTTGCGCGGGTGTGAAACAGAGAGAGAGAGAGAGCACTCGAGTACTCAAGTACATGAGTACACAGACGTAGAGACATGCAAGATTGGTATGGGTCTGTTGTCTATGTGAATCCGATGGGCAGTTCTATTCTGTCAAGCACAAATTGCTGCTGGAAGAGCTCTCCAACATGGGTGTGACAGGCACTGCGAATTCCTGGCTTGCTAGTTGCCTCAGCGACCGGTACCAGCGTGTAGTTGTTGGCGGCAGTATGTCAAGCTACACACAGTGCAGTAGAGGCGTGCCACAGGGCTCCCGGTGATTCTCGGCCCACTGCTCTTTACTCTGTATATTCGCGAAATCCACAATTGCATTCCACGTCCCGTCGTTCATCAAGAGTTTGCGGACGATATCGTTTTAGAGGCCGCTGGGAGTCGAGCAGTGGTGTGCACCTCCCTAAGCACCGCAGTCACCAATCTGGCAACTTGGCTTGAGGACCGTGGCCTTAAGCTGAATCAGACGAAGACTTAGGTCTTGCATATAACACCTCGTGGTGGGCAGCAGAGTGCAGAACCGCTCCAGATCCGTTGCGACGGGAAACTGCTCACAATTGTGTCACAGGCTCGCTACCTTCGAGTTATTGTTCATAATGAGCTCTCCTGGGATGGCCACGCTGACCACACCATTCGCCAAGTTTGACGCTCCATTGGTGCACTATGGCGCTCACGTCAAAGCTTGAAAAAAATTTCACGGTTCGCGTGAGACTCGGCCAAAGGCCCAGTTTTCCGCATCCGCAGGAACGCCACCACCCTCTTGGATCAAGGCGCAGATGCAGCTCCTAAGCGGTGGGAGGTGAGTAGATCAGACCCACCACAAAGTGGTCAAAGACCGAAATCCCATTCACTGCATCCATGTTTCCCTCGTGCCAGGCCACGAGTTCCCAATTAACTGTGGGTCGCAGCACGGCTGGAAAAAATCCTTCCGCTTCCAAGCAGGACTTGAACCTGGTACCCTCTGTTTCTCAATCATGGTCTTAGACCATCCCACTATGAAAGCTTGAAAGTCTCCTCGAAAACTTTATTAAATGCAATGATCATGTCCAGACTACCATACGTGTCCAATGCAATCTATCCGTCTCTGATGGCCAGAAACATGGACGCCCTCACTCGAATGACGAAAGCTGCAATCCATACTTTCTTTGGCTTTCCGCCGTGGACTTCCATTGCAGGGCTCTTCGAGAGACTCTGTCTTCCTACCCTCGAGGACGCCCTGGCAGCGAAAATCCTAATATTCGTTCGCCGCTGCATTCATGGCCGTTCAAGTGTCCTGTTTTGGAATTATTACGCCAGAACACAGAGTGATCGCACTCGTGGAGCTGACCAAAACCTATTGCAGGTACCCTTCTGGCCCGGTCGTTCTGGTAGAGGTACGACCCAGTTCATTGGTGCCATTCTCTGGAACAAGACACCGCCCATGATGCACTGTGAACCTTGTCACGCTCATTTCTGTGCTCTCTCGAAAGCGTCCAAGTATTAAAATAGGTCACTTTTTATCTGGTCACATACAAAACTGGCATAGCTGAGGTGATAACGCGGGAAAAGGAAAGTGTGAAGTACTGTTGACGCGCATGGGACATGCATGCAGGGTCAGAAATTCGGCACGGAAAATCAATCACTATGACTATCAATGCAGATAAAATGTGCCAGAATCAGTGTACTGTACTGTATAGCTAGTGAGAGTCTCTTCTTCATAAAGGGAATGATGAAACTACAATAGGATTTATACATTTGGAGTGAAAAAATACGACGATTCAAGAATATGAAGAAGAGGTTGGTGCGATTTCGGCGATATTTGGGGAATTGTGTGTTGCTCCCTGTGTGGGAGCTTGCGCTATTCCTGCCGACTTGAATTCTCACTTGACTGACTCACGACTGCCATCCTGAGCACACGAGAAGTCCATCCAACCTTCCACTCGGCAAACCTGCAAAAAAGCACCACTCACTGCTCAATACACAGTGTTTCGGGGAATACACCCCTCATCAGTTGAGCTTAAGTAGGCTGAGGAAGATTGGGCCTGAAGAGCACCACATATATAGTGCTCTACGAGCACAAACATCACGAGGGATATAAACTTACAGAGACGCTCCGTTTCCAGCACGACAAACACCTCGTGAACGCCAGATAGCAGCTTGAGTCAGTGTCGCTCGGAGAGATGCTGAACGAACGCTGAGGACCGTTGGCCATTCACAACGTTGTTGCCTCGAAACCATCTAATTCGCAAGCCCGCGCTGGGGACAACAATGTGAAGAAGAGGTTGGTGCGACTGTGGCGATACTTGGGGAATTGTGTGTTGCTCCCTACGTAGGAGCTTGCGCTATTCCTGCCGAGGTTTGCTGAGTGGAAGGATCGATGGACTTCTCGTGTGCTCTGGATGGCAGTCGTGAGTCAGTCAAGTGAGAATTCAAGTCAGAAGGAATAGTGCAAGCTCCCACATAGGGAGCAACACACAATTCCCGATACAAGAATAGTATGAAAGATGGCACAAATTTCGGAAAAATTGCCCGAATTCCATTAATAATTGTGACAAGAAAACAATCCTACGGTTGTGATATGGGTGCGCATTTAGTTTTACTCATTGCATTTTCTCTTTATTCGGGAAAAACAACTTTGTATTTTTAATTTATAGGTGGAGTGTTTGGTCCCAGTGCTTGGTGCCAGTGACGTTTTCCTACTTTCTTTACAATCCAAACCGAGTTGGTGTGTGTTCCTTAAAGTTTCAGTGCAATGCTGGAAGAGATTATATAAATATGATAGAAAATGTGCAACCATCCAACAATGTTCGTAAAACCTAGGGGTGGAAAAGTGGCTGAAGTTGACAAAACGGATATGGGGACTACCCTTTTTTATTTTTGAATTCGAAACCTAAGGTACCTAAGATCCCAAAAATCTGTTCACATCAAAATAATATTATCACGATTACGAAATTTGGCCTAAACTGTCGATAACCTCCTTATAAGGACAAAAGCTCGTTAACATAACCACGCAACATGACGCTTGATCGAATTAAAGATATATTCCAGTGTTCCTGAGTTGATTTTCTCGTTTCGCTCATCAGTGGATTATACGGAACTAGGGATCACAAATGAATGAAATAGGGTTAAGTCACAAGTGAGTGGATGTTAGTGCTACAAATGACACGTGTACTTTCCTACAACTGCAATCATACTACATGTGAGGTTATTCATTTGGTGAAAATCTTACATGACTCATTCGCTTCCTTGCATGGCCAGCAATCGAGGACATCTGAGAGTTGTAATTTTTGTACTCCTCCGAGGTGTGATTTTTGGCGTGCTGGGCCCAGCACAAGGAAGCCATCTGCAAAAAAACTGCAGAAAATGGTTGTTGTTTGATCCTTTGGTGTAATCTTTGTTTCTAGTCGAAGCTAGTTGCTGTTTGGAGCAGAAACGCTGAAATTGACTATTTTCTGCATGTACTCATACATGTACTCATGTACTCAGGCATGCAGTCTCACTCGTATTTTAGCTCTTTTTCTGGAATGGATGCTGCTCTGCGCCCCTTGGTGAACATTTCCTGCGCTCGTGGAGCAGCTGAAAAGGACCACTGGTATGTCTGGTTCCTGGTTTGAAAGTGGAGAGTCGACTTTTGTGCCTTGAAAAAGGAGTAGAGAGCGATAGAGGTACGTCTGTTGCTTATTTTTGAGTGCTACTCGTACACTTTTGATCGTGATAGAAATTCTCAGACCAAAGTCAGACCAAAGTCAGATGATGGCCGTACAGTTTTCTTGTGGATTTTTTAGTTGTTTCATCTCGTATCTATGTCAGTATCGTGATGGTGAAGTGGAGAGGGTGATTTTCTCCCTCTAGGCTTCGTTCGGCCGACTTTGCTTCGTCCTCGTTGAAAAGTGATCCTGAAAAAAAGGTCGATTTTGCTGGCTATGGTTATTGAGCACCTCTGGTCATTTGATCACAGCGAATTAAAATAAAATCAACAACAACAACGACAATGACAACGCGACAATGACAACGCGACAATGACAACGCGACAACGACAACACGACAACAACAACGCGACAACAACAACACGACAACGACAAGGCAACAACGACAACGCGACAACGACAACAACGACAATGACAACGTGACAACGACAACGCGACAACGACAACACGACAACGCGACAACGACAACATGACATCGACAACAACCGACGACGATGGCGGCGACGATGACAACACTCTCCAAACGGTCGCCGGGCTACACCAGTTAATGAAATTTTAATGATTATCTCTTTTTTCTTTCAAGGGGAAGTTCACCCTGAAATGAAAACTTCACCATGTGTTGCGAAAATGCAATGATTCCAATGGTGAAGGTCCCATGTTGATTGGAGCAGCCATTCCTGAGTTATACTTGCTTGAAGTTTGCATTAAATTCATCAACTTGCCCAGATTATGACCGGATTTATGACATCAGAGAGATAGATTTTGTATGGGAGTAGATGGAAAAAATTCTTTCTTGTTTTTCTGCAACAATGATTTCATGCCAGATTTTTTTCCAGTCGAAATTCCTTTAGGGTGCCATAATTATGTCCAACGCCGAAATTTGAAAATCATCCAACTTTTTTGGGACAAAGGAGGGCCAAAATACTGAAATTTCCCCATCTACTCTCATACAAAGTCTACATGTATCTCTCTTACGGAATAAATCCTGCGCAGTTTAGTCTGGGAAGATAATGACGTCATCATTATTAAAAAAATTCACCAAATTTAGTGCAAACTTTAAGCTGGTATACCTCAGAAACGGCTGCTCCCATCAACCTGGGACCTTCACTATTGGCATCATTGCATGTGTCGCTACAGGTTGTGAGCCCAAAGACCGTTTGGAGAGTGTTGTGAAGATGCATGGCAATGTTTCCCATATTGACCACCTACTCCGTCAATAACATACCGTAAAAGTCCGTAAATAAGTACCTGCCCGACAGAAATACGCCATTCATTCTTTTGGCTCTGTCTGTTGAAGTCAAGTCATGCCCAATAAACATACTGCCCGAAAGTAAGTACCGGTCCGGTGCGCACATGCAGCACGTAGCATGTACATCGACATGAAAATGACTTCTCCACTACACACAAGTCAGGTTCGAAAGTTAGCTCATGCCCGAAAGTCAGTACTCGCTCGAAATTTAGTACGGGTGTGGTCACTAAATTCAAAAATATTAAAATACATGTAGAGAAGAAAAGGACATAATGGATACGAGTTAAGAGTAACTCTCCATCACTGTATATAGTATCCAGTTACAGTGATGGAGAGTTACTCTTAACTCGTATCCATTATGTCCTTTTCTTTTCTACATTTATTTATGGCTCAACACCCCTGTTTCAAATATTAAAATACGTTTTTATTTACGGACTTTTACGGTATTCATTACTAATTCCTAATATCGCTAAAATGAGACTTTGCTTTACCCAGGTTTTCCTGTAGTATGAATATTCAAATTGTTCGTCTCCATTTAGAAGTTCCCAAGCCGGGAGTTCACGATAATTTGTTATTATTTTGATTTTAACAAAATTATTGTTGAAGTTGTCAACGTATCCTTTAGCACCAATCAGTCTTGATTTCTATGTGTTTTGTGTTTCTTGCATGTAGATCGAGCACACCCGTTCCAGTAATGTAAGTACACATATTTTAGTACTAAATTGAAAAATGACTTAAATGATACTTTTGCTTCCAGTACTTCCGCCACGTCATTACAATTGTCGCTTCGCACATCTCAATATCTGTGCCTTGCTTGCTTGCCCTATCCCGTTGGATGCTAGTTTGCAATCATTGCCTGCCACCTGGAGGCATGGATCAACGAAGCTTCATGACCTGAATTTGAACATGCGTCTTGTAAAAGTCTTGTTGAGTAATGAATGGTCTACCTCAAAACTCTGGTGAAGACGTCGACCTCAGCCACATGTGCAGCGAAGCAGGACACCACCACTCAAGCTCAGTCCGTCAGCAATGCTCTGCCTCAATTTCCAGCTGATTTCATTGCTTTGAGTGGACAAAATAAAGCAACTCACCTCCACCACCACATGCGCTCTCTGGTCGACCATCAAACAAGCAACACAACTCCAAGTTATAGATACTGACACCATGATATTTCATCCATACAGCACTGTTTCGACCATTGCAATTTTATCTACAATGGACAAAAAAATTAAATCGCTCTGGGAAGCGACAATTGTCATGACTTGGAGGAAGTAACTACCTTACGATTATGATCTCCACATTGCCTTTTCATAAAACAGTGCTTTAAAATAGAATATAGCCATTCCCTATTTTCAATCTTCACTGGTGAGAAAATACTCAGAAGCGCCCACCCACTAATAGGGTATTCACACGACGTGAAAACAAACGAAAACACGTTTGTATAAAAGTGGACAAGCTGCCCCATCGGATTCACACGGACAACAGACCCGTGCAAGTCTCGCATGCGTCCGTGTACTCATGAACTTGAGTACCATACTCAAGTACTCTCGCTGTTTTTACACGCGCGCAAAGCACAAACGTGGGCCTAGGACCCCCGATCAAGTTTCTCCAGATTTTGTATGCGCTAAGGTCACACGAGTAAAAAGAGTACCACAAACGTGAGTTTGCCCGTCGTGTGAATCCCCTATAACAAAGAAGTACACATGGTTTTGTTCATCTAATGGGAGCATTTAGTTTTTCAAAATGTTAGGATTTGTTTTCAAAAGACCGACTTGCAGATCAAGTTCCGCATGTTTTGAAGCCTACATTTAGAACATTTCGCCTTTATTTTTCCAGATAAGTCTTTTAACTTAATAGTGGTCATTGTAACAGCATGCATGGACACTCATCAAGTCTCTTTTATATTTGTGTACAGATCTGCTACCAAATGTGGAGTCCGCCGTTTGTTTGTTGGCGTTTTCAAGAATTCTCTTTCAGCACATAAAATGTAAGGCTTCGTTTGAACTTTTAACCTGTGATGGAGAGATGAGTTTTATGGAATTTGTTTGAAGCTTCATATCCATACTTGATTTGTTTTGGAAGAAAGGGGCACAACTTAAATGCGTTCTGCCGTTCACACTAAACTTCGAAAATATTAATTCTTAAATGCTGTACATGCAGAAGAACAAGGAGAATCAAGGCTTGTTTGCTGTACATGCATATACACTGTCCATATCACTGTAGGAGAACATAGCAAACATTTTAGGGTTTTAACGTCGGGCCCTAGAGGACGGCTACTTTGGCCAACCGGACAACAAATAGGTTGAGGCCAAAAGAATGATTTTATTTGTTGCGCATGCTTAGGGGTCGTCCGCAATTATCGAAAGTTTTTTCCAATCCGTAGTAGCTTCAAAAGTGGGTGGGTGGGTCAAGGCCAGTTACGGATTGAAAAACTTCCGAAATGACACGTGCGCGTGCCACGTGTACGTCTACGTGTAGCCCCTGTTTTCCACGCGCGGCTGCGCGCGAACTGTCTACTACAAATATTTTTGTAGTTCTGGCAGTTTCTGCGCCCCCGCGCGCGCTTCCTTGGCTGCTCCTGGGCCGGTGATCATAAAGTTAGTTCGGCGCATTCGACGGCGAGTCGACACTTTCTATTTTTGAGTTTCACTGTCTCCTTTGTCCAGAGTACCGTCTTCCATGCACTCCTTTGAAGTCCTTCCGTCTAGCGCTGGCGCTGACGACTGTTATTGACTATGTCCAGACAGGCGACGTTGTTTGGAAAGGCGGTGAAGAAGCAGCCCTTTTTCAAAACCGCTGGTGACTCTGACATGATGTCACTATGACTCATGGACCAGCACTGATTGAGTTTGTTCCATACATGTATGTGTTGGGTTGTGTGTCCATCAATAATATTTTATTACGGACTGGGGGGGGGGGGGGGGGGGTGGGTGGGTGGGTGAGGAAAAATTTGAAGCTACTACGGATTGGAAAAAACTTTCGATAATTGCGGACGACCCCTTATGTAGAATGACGTAATAGACAGTGAGTCAGGTCGCCACAGTATTCCACCACTAGTGGTGAGGTCGGGAGGAGCGAAGCACGATAAACAAGAAAAAGTGTGAGGAGAGAGAAAAAGGAAGCGCGGCGTGTACAAGGCGGAAAGACAAAAATATAATACCGTATTTCCCCGTAAGTTAGTACGTACTAACTTTCGAACTTAGCAGCCACATGAGTACTAACTTTTGGGGGTTGTGATAAACGTGTTGGTTTATTCTAATAAATACTTTGTAGTAGTCTCCATCGAGGAGCGAGTGGAAAAGAACAACAAAACAAAGAACAGCACAACGGAATCAGCATGCTCAATGTGTAGTCATGCGTGCATGCCAAATACCAATGCATGACGTAAGCTAACGTAAACTGCGTACAATAAGACAGATGCACGCGGGTGGTTGCATATAGGATATCGTACATAATAATACAACACGCCCTTCCGAGATCATAATGGGTGAACAAGCCAGACTATGATCTAAACATAATAACTATGAAGATACAAAAAAAAAACATGAACAAGAGGCAAGGCAACGAGAACAGTCACAGTGTAGCACAGACTACAGAAGAAGAAAAACTAATCAAACATATGACTGTCCTTGGTGTGCAGAAATGTTCAAACGGTCAGGTTGACGGCGGTTACGGGTGCTGCGACGGGGTGCAACAACAGGCTCAGTAGGTGCGGGAACAGCAGGTTCAGACGCACTATCAGTAGAAACGCGATCAGGCAGCAATGGGACATAAGGCCGTAGGAAGCGACGATTTCGCCAAAACACACGACCACTACGTAGCTTGACGTAATAGTCTCGATGGGTACCAATGGCGACAACGATGCCTCGACCTGTCCACCGTTTGGTGCGCGGATCTTGCAGATCTACGTGCATGCCAATAGTGAGCTTAGACAACGTGCGCGGCTGAGACGAATCTGGATCCGGGACAGGTGGAGAATCAGAACTCTCTATACTGGTAGCACGCTGTTTCCACTCCGGGGCAAACGACGAGTGATGCGCCAGCACGAATGACGAGAGCGAACGACCGAATAGCAGCTGGGCAGGACTGGGTCCAGACGGATGTGGGGTATTACGCCATTCCAACAGACCACGCTGGAAGGCATCGGTGTCCAGGTCGCCATTACTAGTGGTTTTCGCAATCAGGTACTTCATGGACTTCACCGCGGACTCGGCATGGCCATTTGATTGCGGGAAGTGCGGGGTTGATGTGATGTGCTTCATCTGCCAACGGTCGCAGAACTCAGTGAAGCGTCGCGACGCATACTGGGGACCATCGTCGGTTGATATTGCACTGGGAACGCCAACATCTGTAAACCAGCGACGAAGTTGACGAACCACGTCAGAAGATGTGGCTGTGCGGCCTATCTTTGCAACACACGGCCAACCGGTGAGTCGATCGACCAACACAAGGTATTCCCAACCTTGGCAATGGAAGAGGTCAGAGCTGACACTCTCGAACGGCATTGACGGTTGACGGTCACTCTGCAGCGGTTCTCTCGGCAAAGATGGCTGGAACTCACGACAGGGCTGACATGCACGGACAAGGCGGTCAAGCTCAGAGTTCAAACCAGGCCAGTACACTAGTTGACGCGCACGGCGCTTGGTGCGGTCAATTCCTTGGTGTGCAGCGTGTAGATCGTGCAGCACAGATGCACGTAGAGCAGCAGGTACTACGATGCGATTGCCCTTCAGTACGACGGCGGAGTCAACAGATAGGTGTTCGCGTCCATTCCAATAGGGCTGCAGATGCCGTGGAAGGTCGGAACAGGAGCGTGGGAAGCCGGTGAGTACCATCTGCAGGAGATCTTGATACTCAGAGTCCGAGGCGCACGCATCTTGGAGCTTCGCATAGCGTAATGCTGACATCGAACCAGAGTCATCAGCACGGAGGCACGCACGAATAGCAGAACCAGATGGCAGGTCGTCTTCTCCAAGCAGGTCAGATGCTTGTGGGTCGGAGACGGGTGCTCGAGACAGAGCGTCGGCGGCATAATGCAGCTTTCCTTGTCTCCAGGAAGCATGAAATTGGTACGGCCGAAGCTTCAGCAGGAGACGCTGCAAACGAGGATTCTCGACCTGATCCAGGCTATACGTGTTGAAGATCGGAATCAGGGGCTGGTGGTCTACGATGAGGTCGAATCTGCTGCCGGCAAGGTACAGGTGGCACTTGCGCACAGCCCAGACCACAGCAAGACATTCAAGTTCAATCATAGCGTAGCGGCTTTCAGTGTCGGTGATAAAGCGGCTACCACACTGGACGAGGCGCCAGCCAGACGGGTGCAGTTGGAACAGTGCATAGCCGAGACCTTTCGTGCGGGATGCATCTGTTTCCAGACGTGTTTCCAGACCAGGTTGGTAATACGCCAGAATGGGGGGTTCGACCAGAGCATTCTTCACACGGTTGAACGCATCGGTGTGTGGCGTTTCCCACTGGAAAACAGCAGACGTCTTCAGCAGACCACGAAGCGGTGTCGCCAGCTCGGCGATAGCAGGTGTAAACTCAGCAAGCTGATTTACGAGGCCCATGAACGATCGGAGGTCGGTCCGATTCGTCGGGGTGGAGAAGTCGCGGATAGCGGAGAGCTTAGCGTCATCGACAGTCCAACCGTCAGCATTCAGGATGTAGCCGCAGAACTCGATCTCGGTAGCAGCGAACACAAACTTCTTCGCGCTAAGGGTTACGCCGTGCTCGCGCGCACACAACAATACGCGCCGGACGCGTGCCACATGGTCACCAAGGTCATCATCATAGACGAGACAGTCGTCGACGACCTTTTTGAAATTGGTGATGTTGTCGAATGCCGTGCTCATACGGCGGTTATACTCGTCTCCGGCCGAGATGAGGCCCTGCGGATTGCGCAAGTACTGATACCGGCCCCATGGAGTGATAAACGTTGTCAATGGCCGCGCTGCTTCGCTGAGTGGCACTTGCCAGTAGCCATGGCGAGCATCGAGCTTCGTAAAGAAGCGACCGCTGACACTGGTGACGACATCACGAGGTGGCTGTGTCGGATGCGTGGGACGTTGGATCTGATCGTTCAGCTTCTTGAAGTCCACCGTTAGACGCTTCTCAGTGGTGCCCTTCTTGTCGACTATAACAATAGGGTGGCACCAGTCGCGGGGTTCAGAGACAGGCTCAATGATGCCATCCTTCACCATGTTGTCAAGCTGTTCCTTAATCTGGTCCCGAAACGCATAGGGCACTGGTCTAGCATGATGAACACAGGAAGGTGTAGCGTCTGGTTCGAGCTGAATGTCGATTGACGGACCAGACATGGGCTTCAGACTGTCAGAGTCGAACACGTCAGAAAACTCCTCCAGCAGCTCAGTGCGAATCTGGTCGGCGGTGGGCTCAGGTGCTGGCTTGCGCTCAACTCGGCAAACAGAAGGCCAGTTGGGCGGCAGCAATCCGAGCGCACACAGGGATGTCCGGGAGAGCAAGGCATCCGACAGCTCGGAGTACACGTGTATGGTGGTGCGGTGAGTCTTGGAGCCTAGCCCAAGACTGGAACTGATCTGGCCAACGGATACGAGAGGCTGACCGTTCACACCGGTGACAACGTCTGGGTCCTCCGCCAGGTTTTCTGGGAATCCACCCAGAAGGTCAAGATGACGAAGACCAATGGCGTCGACATCACTGCCGGTGTCCGGTATCCAGTTAATGGCTGCACCTGTCTCCTCCGTGTTGAGCGTAGTCGTCACAGACACGGTGCCTTGTTGCCCGGATGATGCTTGCTGGAGCTTCAGCTGGCCGATCTTGGAACCACGTGGCTGCTTGGATTTCTTCGGACACATTTTTTCAAAATGTCCAGTGGCTTTGCAGCCGTTACAAGTTTTGCCAGCAGCGGGGCAGGCAGACTTGGTATGCGTAGAGCGGCCACACTGGGGACATTTCTTGGGTGATGAATAAGCAGACTGGGGTGCTGCCTTAGAGGTGGCGTCCGGCGCCGGCTTGTCACCAAAGCGTTTCTGACGCTGGTACTGTGACCTACGGGCGGCGTTGATCGATGCTGACGGCAGAATACCATCCCCAGTTTGCTTTGCTGCTTCCTCAGCACGGCAAATCTTTGCGGCGTTAGCTAGTGTCAGGGATTGTTCGGCTAACAATTTGTGCCGAGTGTCGTCATCGTGCACACCCACAACAATCCGGTCACGGAGGATCTCCTCGTGTGCTTGCACCAGCATCTTGGGGCAACTGCTGCACATGCGGGCAGAGCATGCGGAACAGACTTGCAAGTCGGCGAAGTCGCAGGCAGCAAAGGACTCCTTTAAGCCGGTGTAAAAAGCATCAAAGGTTTCACCACGTTGCTGGCGTCGGTTATAGAAGTCTATCCGATCCAGCAACGGGTTACGTTGCCGACGGATATATTTTTTGACAGCACAGATTATGTCCGAGACATCGGCATTAGTGGCCACGGCGATGATCCCCTCGCGCAAATAACGCTTTATGTCTTCATCTAGTGCCTGGCGTAGAGCACTCACTCGTGTGAGTCGGTCCTGAACGGACAGTTTCTGGCATCTCGCGTAATCCTCCCAAGCCTCCTCCCATGCGTTGAGGTCCGCGAGCGTGGCAGAGGAAAGCAGGATGGGCCGTTCCACCGAGATTTGTTTCGTCGTGGGCTGCGATGTGGATGTATTGCCACTATTGGAGCTACTCAACAGGGCAGTCAGGCGTGCCTCGCGGTCCGCTGCGGCTGTCATCTGTGCCTGCATGAAGGTCAACAGAGCCTGAACATCAGGGCTGACAGGTAAGTTTGGCGTGGCTGCTGCGCCAGGGACAGCATCACTACCAGAGTCGGACATTACGAATCGAAACAAATTTACAGCACTCGCACGAGGTTCACACCACTGAAACGACGGGCCGGGATTGTCAGGTCACAACGGGTGATCTGACCTACCGCCTACAATACTACTACGACAGGTAAGAAAATAGTTCACTGCGCCATGTGATAAACGTGTTGGTTTATTCTAATAAATACTTTGTAGTAGTCTCCATCGAGGAGCGAGTGGAAAAGAACAACAAAACAAAGAACAGCACAACGGAATCAGCATGCTCAATGTGTAGTCATGCGTGCATGCCAAATACCAATGCATGACGTAAGCTAACGTAAACTGCGTACAATAAGACAGATGCACGCGGGTGGTTGCATATAGGATATCGTACATAATAATACAACAGGGGTGGTACTATCTTTCGGGGAGTACTTTTTTATCGGGGTAAATGACACGCAGTGGGAAGCCTGCGCAACTCTAGTGTCCGTGCATATGATGTATGTACTGTACGGTGTCTGTACATGTAGGACGGGTACGAACTTACTATCTTTCGGGGGAACTGTCTTTCGGGGTGATAACCTCGGCAGTGGAAAGTGTATTTTTTATAGGGGGTACTAAGTCATTGGGGAGAACTAACTTACGGGGAAATACGGTAATATGATACATACGTACAAGCGAGAGCGCTGCGTGCATGAAATTTGTTGATAATGTGGCAACAAAGGCCAAAACAAAAATCAAGAGCGGTAAGTGGAAAAGAGAGAGATGCATGACCGAGAGATGCATGACAGAGGCGGTTAACCTGTCAGAGGTGTGTTAATGTGACAGAAGTGGAGAGCATATGTCAGAGGCAGAGAGAAAGAAAAGAGGAAATGCCTGACAGAGGAGTGTTATCATGTCAGAGGCGGCTGCATGTTGCAGGCTTTGCAGGGTACCCGTCACGGAGTACGAGAAACACTGGGGTGAGGGGTGGCCAGTGAGGCGGGGACGGTTGGAGGCGAACGCAACTCCAATAAATCCTATGAGCCAGGCGTGTGCCTGTGTGCGTGTACAGAGAGTGAGTTGGTACGAACGGTGGAGGTGGCCAATTTCCAGCATGAGGCCAGGACGAATACGAAGGACGAAATGAATGGATATGGAGCCGTGGCAGGATAGCGGGGTATCCAGGTGGGCGGGGAGGGTGGCAGGGGCCACAGCAGCTCCGAGGCGGATCCAGTGGTGGTGAGGCTCACGTTTTACGTCAACAGCCGGCGATTGACGGCATCTCGAGAGTGGGGCGAGCAGGAAACTGCGGCGAGAGCTCAGGGATGGCAGGCATTGGGAAAACTCCAAAGAGCGCAGCGTCTGGGGTCACCAATTTAGGGGTTTTAAGTCGGGCCCTAGACAACGGCTACAATGGCCAACTGGACAACAACTTTTTTGAAGAAGTTAAGGCCAAAGAGAATGATTTTATTTCTTGCGCATGCTTATGTCGAATGACGTAATGGTTGGGAGTCACGCCGCTACAATATTCTCAGGCAAATGGTCTTAGGAATTAAGTGTTGCTCACTACATGGGAGCTCGCGGTTTTCCTTCCGACTTGAATTCTCTTGAATTCTCACTTATTTTATGTTTTTCAAATATCAATGCATCGAATAAATTCAGGCGTCCTCAAAACACATCAACTAGTGTGTTACGAGAACAAAATAAGGTTATATTGCCTCACCCCCGTTTACACTGAGCTCTCACCTCACTTTTACTGTCTCACCCCTTTGCCTTCTATCTATTCACTTTATTTTGTGTGTGTGTGTGTGTGTGTGTGTGTGTGTGTGTGTATGTGCGTGCGTGCGTGTGTATGTAAAAGGCAACTGAGTGTAGCCATGTGTCGGCTGAGAGCGCATGGAGGACAAGAGGAGGAGAGATTGTTGCATTCTTGAACAGTAGATTGGCACCATTCACAACTGTATTGATATGCAAGAGTTTGTGTAATTTCTTTGGGTTTCACTGTTTCACAGAGACTTAATGCACAACCAGTTAACCCAGCTACATCGAAATACATTCAGCGGCCTTCATAATGTGACTGGACTGTAAGCATGTCTTTGTTTCTGCAGACCTCTCTTGCTATAGGTTCATCTTTTAAAGAAAAGAAAAAGGACCAAGGAATTACAAGTTACGCTAAAATGTCCACTGACACAACCAGTTACTAAACAATCAGCTCATGCGATAAAGTTGCACGACACTGACTGACGATACTGACATGCATGTACATCCGCCAACATCCTTCACAGCTGAGACTTTCAGCTAGTGCTTATTTTGGTTGTGCTCACCTTCCCCTCCTTATGTTATTTCTATAACTTAGAACCTTCCGAAGGCTGTTGGAGTGCGCATCCAAGATGTGCTAGAGCTGTTAGCCAGTTAGTTGTAGAACGACAGTACCGTCGGTCAGTGTCGTGCAATGTTATCGCATGAGCTGATTGTTTAGTAACTGGTGTTGTTAGTGGACAGTATAGCGTAACTTGTAGTTCCTCGGTCCTTTTTTGTTTTCTATAAATTAATCCTTGGCTCTCCAACCGAGTCCATTTTTAAATGTATATATTTTATATTTTTAACAAGATACACAACTCACCACTGCAGGCGCATGGAGCTAGCATAGGGTGAGATGGTGGTGCTGGTGGGTCCTGCCATGCTCAACTGACCAGAGGTCTCAGCATCTTCGAATGACAGGCGCACCATATGGGAGTAGGGAGGGGGGGTTAGCGTCTTTTTTTTGTTAACTTAGGGCCCAAAGCCATAGACGCACACGTAGACGCAATCACACAGACACATTTATGCACACACACACACACACACATCCTAGTCCTGGTCCTCGTGTCGTCTAGCTGAAAAGGATGACCCACGTCTAGCTTATGACAAACTATGTTAATCAATGGGGGCATATCCAGGCAGCATAGCTTCAGCAGGTGGTGGCAAGTCCAGATGTGGCGCCGCTCTCCTGAGAGGGACTGGACACAGCACTGTTCTGGGTCACCACCAAGTGCACTGGGGGTGCTGTAGGTACTAGTGGCGGCATGTCCTGGCTTTGTGTGTTAGCAGGTGAGAATGATGGTGCTGCTGGTGAAGACAAATCCACTCCAGCTCGGGTTCTTCCTTGCGTGGAATTCTCACTATTTGGGTACACTTTCCTCAACCAGTTGATCGTGCCAATCGACGCTTGGGCAGGGTTGGCGCCTGACCTAGTTGCACTATGTAGGTCTACACGGCCATCCTGACTGGCATGCTGAGATGTGATGCTTTTGCCAACTAGAACATCCTGATCCACCTGGCTGTTGGTGGCGTGAGTTCCGACACTAGCGCTGGCACCCAGCCCATTTCTGTGACCGTAGGACGCTTCAGTCCCAATGTCTGGAGTCTTATTTCTACGGGTTGCCGTGGCTTGGGTAGTAGTCTACACACGGGGTGTTAGCAATCTTGCAAGCACATCGCTGACACTTCCATGTAAGCTGGCCTTGGCAGCAATCCATTAGAGAGGTTAAGATGCACGTTATTTCCGACGTGACGCGAAAGTTCATCTCGCGTTATTTGGCTCGCACGTCGGAAAATCAACGCGAATGACCAGCTGCTCACGTCGAAATTTGGAGTTTTACGCCAAATTTGATGTGAAATTGCGCGTCACGTCGGAAAAAGCGTGCATCTTAACCTCTCTATTGCTGCTACAGGAACCGATAGTTGTAGATGTGATGGCGGCTCGACATGGATGTGTGAACAGGTGAAGGTGGTGAGACTTTGCTAACACAAAGTATGAACAGAAGTTTGAGTTGTTCTGGTCTGCCCAAAAGAAAATTAGTATAGGATATCGACCTCGACCTCGGGCTAAATGGGAGATATAGGCCTCATAAAAGACCTAGGCGGACATCGGTCTTTTACTCGGGCTATAGTACCCATATAGACCGGAGTCGAGGTCCATATCCTATTGATCATGATTCCTTTGCCATAACCCAAAATTTGATCCTTTAGGAGCTTTTTTCGGCCTTTTCAGTGTAGCATTTGTACTATCGAATGGACTCGGATGGAGAGCCAAGGATAAATTCATAGAAAAGAAAAAGGACCAAGCTCTATGTGATCATACTAACTTAGAACCTTCCAAGTTGGAAGGCTGTTGGAGTGGGCATCCAAGGCGTGCTAGAGCTGATAACTACAGTCAACTTCGCGAATAACGGCATTCGGCGGGGCATCAGAAAAGTGTCGTTATTCGCGAAGTGTCCTTATAACCGAAGTCCCATTTGAATGTATGTGAACCCATATTTTGTATAGTATGACATGCATATCAAAATCAAGCTCTTTTCTTGCTCTATGTCAATGTGTACTTTATTTTTCTTATTGCAGTTGAAAGGAACTAAAAATTCAATATTCAAGGGAAATCAATTGAAAAATATGCCTTTTTGAGCCATCTACAGGGCCAGGGACATGTACATTGTATGATGATTACTGTACAATCATGTACAACTACAGATTGTACATGTACACTGTACTGTATGTAGTGAGGAAAACTTCCTTCTGCCAGCGGAGAGGGTCCATTGTGCCTTTTGTGTGTACACTGTACATGTATACATAATACACTGTAGGTGTGCTGGTAAATCCAACAATTTTGAAACCAAAATAAAAAAAGGAAGAAAAAGCCTCCCCCGGCCCCGGCCCCCGGGCCCCTTGGGCCTGGCTGCATTTTCTTGCATGTGTGCCTTTATCCATCACCATAGGTTCTGGTACTTCTGCATGACAGGTACATGATTGTACTTGACTGACAGGTACTTCAATAGCAGTCAAAAGCCCAGAAAGTCGTTATTCAAGCAGTGAATATGACCTCGGGGCACTAAAAGCATGTCGCTATACGCGAATTGTCGTTATTCAGATAGTCGTTATATCTGAAGTTAAATGTATACGAAAAGGCGACGAGGAGACAATAACTTTATTAATGCGATTAATAGTATTAGTGAAGCGGACATTACAAAATGATGAATGAGAATACATGTATCTAAAATGGTTGTTCCTAATCGATTTTCTTGAGACTATCATCAGGGAAAATCGTCTCACAATAGAGACGATTTTCCCTGATGATAGTCTCAAGAAAATCGATTAGGAACAACCATTTTAGATACATGTATTCTCATTCATCATTTTGTAATGTCCGCTTCACTAATACTATTAATCGCATTAATTAAATGTATACAGTTAGATTTTGCTCAGGGCATGGAAATTCGGTCGTTATTCGCGAATTGTCGTTATATCCACAGTCGTTATTAGCGAAGTTGACTGTAGTCAGTTGTAGAACGTCAGTACCGCCTGTCAGTGTCGTGCAATGTTATCGCATGAGCTGATTGTTTAGTAACTGGTGGTGTTAGTTGACAGTATAGCGTAACTTGTAGTTCCTTGGTCCGTTTTCTTTTCTATAAATTTGTACTATAATGGGGCCGCTTCTATCCAGACAATGGGGCAGTACTCCATCACTGGGCTTTGTAGGCTTGCATGCGACCAGGCATGTCTAAGAGATGTCTTCTATCGTCCAAGAACAAACATAAACGTGATTCAGTGGGTCCGTCGGTTGACCCTGCTAGGCGTTTTGCAGATTATGTCACCGCGGGCAAAGTGGGCAAGGCGCTCCGTGGCTTGACAAGCGGTGATGATGGAGGCGTGCATCAGTTGGACGACGAGATTGACGGACGCACTGTCCGGGATATCCTGAAAGACAAACATCCACCCGCAGAGCCGATGAGCGAGGACGCCGTTATTGGTGGTGATCCACCTGCTCCACCTCATCCGATCTATTTCAGCAGCCTTGGACGTCAGTCGATTAAGAGTGCAGCGCTCGGTACGCAGGGTGCTGCGGGGCCGAGTGGTGTTGACGCCGAGAACTGGAGGCATTTTTGCGCTAGTTTCTCTGACGCCTCCCAGGGCCTTTGCGATGCACTAGCATCGTGTGCAAGGCGTTTAGCCTCCACGTACGTGCACCCAGCATCTTTGTCGGCTTTCACTGCGTGCAGATTGATAACGTTGGACAAGCAACCCGGTGTCCGGCCGATTGGAATAGGTGAGGTCGCTCGACGCATTATAAGCAAGGCCATCCTCTCCGTCGTAGGCCAAGCCGTTCAGGAGGCGGTTGGGTGTATACAGCTATGCGCTGGCCAGGATTGCGGTATAGAGGCGGGAATACATGCGATGCAGCAGGCCTTTGAGCTGGATGACACCGAAGGAATTCTGATGGCGGATGCAAGTAATGCGTTCAACAGACTAAATCGACAGACTTGCTTAAGAAATGTTCGGCACTTGTGTCCATCACTTGCTACCGTTCTTATTAATACCTACCGTGATCCAGCTCATCTCTACGTGGACGGTGAAAGTATCCTGTCGCAAGAAGGGACAACACAGGGTGATCCCCTTGCAATGTACATGTACGCGTTGGGAATAATGCCCTTGATACGTTTGGCGGATGAGGCGGGTGCGGTGCAGTCATGGTTCGCGGACGATTCATCCGCTGCTGCTCGTCTTCGCAGACTCCGTCTATGGTGGGACATAATGGACAAGAGAGGACCGGCATATGGATATTACGTAAACCCAAAGAAATCGGTCCTTGTCGTCAAGGAAAGGTGTTACCAGGAGGCGACTGAATTGTTTCGAGACACTGGTGTAATGATAACGGACGAGGGATCACGATATCTTGGCGCAGCAATCGGAAGGGACAGCTTTCTTCAAAGCTATATCAAAACAAAGGTGGACGAATGGATGGGGGAACTGAAGAAGCTAGCAGTATTTGCACAAACCCAGCCGCAGGCTGCGTATTCTGCGTATGTGACGGGCCTCAGGGGTAGATGGGTATTCCTCTGTCGTACCATGAAGGTACCCGAACCCATGTTCCAACCGCTGGAGGACATTGTGAAGTCTGAACTGATTCCCGCCTTAACTTGCCGTGCACCCCCAGGCGACACTCTCCGACGGCTTATGGCTTTGCCGTGTCGTCTGGGTGGGCTCGGTTTGATTAACCCTGTGTCCCTATGCCAACAATACGACTCGTCGGTTCGGATGACCAACCCTTTGTCTCGGAGAATCTTGTCAGGGGATGGCTCCATCGGTGACTCGGTAGTGTTAATCAGATCGGCCAAGAGAGACGCCAAGGCATCTTCTCGACGTCATCAGAAACTGGAATTCGACGCGATATCGGGCAGTGCGTCGGAGTCGCTACGACATGTCATAGACGTCGCGAAGGAGAAAGGGTCGTCGAGCTGGCTGACGTGCCGTCCACTTAAGAAATATCATTTTAATTTAACAAAGGGAGAGTTTTGGGACGGACTCTGCCTCCGTTACGGATGGACACCGGCCAGGGTACCGTCACACTGCTCTTGCGGCCAAGAGGCAACTGTCGCGCATTCCCTGTCGTGCCCCTATGGAGGGTTTCCCTCCATTAGACACAATGGTATTCGGGACGTCACGGCCCGGCTGCTGGACGAGGTGTGCACCAGTGTGTCCATCGAGCCCTTGCTGCAACCGCTGACGGGGGAGCGTCTTCGCTACCGGACCGCAAATGTGGAAGACCGTGCCCGGTTGGATGTCGCTGCCAATGGTTTGTGGGGCAGTCGTTTTGAGCGTACACTTATTGATATACGGGTTTTTAATCCTCACTCACGCTCAAATCGATCTGCACCACATACTATTGTGTATCAGCGACATGAAAAAGAAAAGAGAAGGCACTATGAGGAGCGGGTGAGGCAGGTTGAGCAAGCCTCCTTTGTTCCGGCGGTCATGTCAGCCAGTGGCGGAATGGGTCCAGCATCAACAGCACTGTACAAACGAATTGCTCATCTGTTGGCGGAGAAGAGGGGTGAGCATTACTCTCATGTTATGGCATTTGTTAGATGCAGGATTTCCTTCAGCCTTCTGAAATCCTGTATCGTGTGCATTCGCGGTTGTAGGCGTTAAAATTTTGGTTTGAAATTTGCACCCTCCCGGAGCCCACGCTGCTTTGGCAGTGGCGGAGGCTCGCTTGCCGACGTAACCGGCGGAGATCATCATGAACAATGGACTGACTAATTATTCACTTGTCCTGTCTTTATAAATAACATGTTATTGCATATGTTCTTGGTTTAGTTTTTGGCCTTTTTCGTGCTTTGGAGTTGATAACATTTTCCTCACTATCGAAAAAACAAAAAAACAAAGTGCATTCCAAAAAAAAAAAAAAAAAATGTCTAAGAGCTGGAAAGCCTTACAAAAACCGCCAAGTCGCCGTCTTGCCCGGACATAGGATGTTGCATGTTTTGGGTACAAGAGTGATAAGTTCAAATATAGAGGTACAGAAAGTGTCCAGCTTGGTTCTGAGTCTCTTTTCATTCTGAGTAACAATGATGAGCTTTCCTGCAGCTTCATACATATCAACGTGATGAGGGCAATTGTACAGAAGCAATGTGTGACTCACTCTCATTGCACAATCAATCACATTGCTTCTGTACAATTGCCCTCATCACCACTTTTTTGTTTTCAATTTCTAATCTAATCCCATTGTGTAAATTGTGTGAATATGTAGGATTCTAAGTCACAATAAACTGAGGTTTCTGGGTAAAGATGTCTTCCACCAATTACGATCACTGGAATTCCTGTAAGTTGAAGTTTATTTCACTGGTTTTGTTATCTTCGTGTCCAACAGTACCTACTATTAAACTTGTAACCTAAGATAGTCACAATCATTTGGAAACGGTTGTGATGTTACTGAACGTTCCCTGTTAGGTGTTCAATAACATTGGGGCATGTAAAGAAAGAGACTCGGTATACTGTGTACATCGTGAGTTTTAGTCGGAGGATAATGTTGTATTGATCTATAATTAACCTACGTGGAGATAATAATTTTAATATAGCTATGAATAGGATGAAGGCTGCAGACATCACGCAACTACGTTACTTGTTTGACATGTATTACTATTTTATAACAAAAATATTATTGAAAACCCAGAATCGATTTTCTCGTTCCTATCATCCTATAATTCTCCACGGATTTTGAAGTGGTTAGCGCTTTGCCCATTCACACATGAAATGGTGGGGTTGGTTCCTGGCTTGAGCAAGGATTATCTCTACCCCAAGAGGACAATCTTGGATGTGATATCTGACTTTCGTTGGGAAGGCAAAAACCATAAGGGAGAGGAGATGGACAAAGCCAGCTCATTGAAACAGGGGGTCTCTAACATCTCGTACCCCTAGGGTAAGATTTGCCAGCTCAAACTTTCCTGCGTTCATTTTCTTCTGTTCACAGATTCATATTTGAAAACCGAATCTTGAAAATAGCGAAACGAGCGTTTGCTGGCCTTTCAAACCTGTACAGTATGTAAGTGAACCCTGTGTGAATGTTCTTTATACCTATTTCAACACTAGACACCCTTAGCAAACAACGGTAACGCTATTTTTTACGGTACTCGTACCTTGATCACCCAAATAGCGTTGAAGCTGCAGCGTATAAACGTTATGGGGGCTGATTTATCGTTGTGACCAACGGTACGTGTTTTGGCCAAATATTGCATAGTCCGTACGCATTTCACCTTGTATAGCGTATATGGTGACAAAAATGGTTGTACCGCGCGAAATCAAAGCTATTCTCGTGGCAACAGCGTACTAAAAATAGCGTGCATCTTGCTAATGGTCGAACCCGAATCACGGTATTTTCCCCCTTACGATAATACCGTTACAACATAACGTTTTTTGCTAAGGGTGTCTACTGTCAACTAATGGATACCTATCTTAGGATCACAATTTCACCAGTTTAATTTGGTCTGAGTCTTTTGTCTTTTTTTTATCTCCATATAATTTGAACCACCCCGACCTGCATGGTTCACCTCTGCACACACTGCTGCGTGTGGGGTGTGCCACTGTGTACAGGCTTTTCTTGTATATCGTTTCCCATTGTCTTTTGTTCCTGAACTCTCCTTCCTGTCGCGATAAAGAACTTTATCACTCTTCTATATAGCCCTCAAACTATTTCGTTAGATCCTTGACTGGTCCTATATTACCCATATCACCGTAATATCGACCGCTTGTATCGACCACTCGGGCATTGTAATCTTTCGACTTTGGAGGGACTTAGGAATTTTCTCTCCACTTCGAAAGGAAAATTTGAAAGAAAGAAGACCAAGGAAGAGAACAAGCAGGATTCAAACCCACAACAGCGTGAATCTCAAGCAACCCCTTATATCGTTCGAAGAATCCGTGTTCGGTTAAAACACTAATGTTTTATGATCATCACTATAGCCGATGAAAAATGTATGCAATAAGATCATTTTGACAAAGAAATCGTATCATTATAGCCGATATATTACTATAGCCGATATATTACTATAGCCGATATATTACTATAGCCGATTATTACTATAGCCGATCCGATATGCATAGAAAGGGTGGTTTACGAAAATGAATTTGAGAACACGATCACTATAAGAGGTATATTACTATAGCCGACAACCCTATCGCCGATCCGCACTGGATAGAGAAATAGTCAATTTTTCGTTATTTAGAGCGTGCAAAAGTTCAGTAGAAAATGATCTAATGTCTTCACTTCGTTTCAAGTGAGCAAGGAGGGCATTCCACATAAGGGATGCTCTGGAGGAAAAGGAACTGTACCCTACCATGGATTTATACAAGCAAATTGACAAATTGTTTGTTGTAGTTCCACGAGTTGACCGTTTAGAGGTGGGCAAAGGGAAAAGACTGCATAAGCAGGATGTAGGCTGAACAATATGACAAATAAACGTAAATGTAAGAAATTGCTAAATGTATCGACATTCAAAGTGTTTTATTTGAAGAGAAGCAAGAAGGGGTGGAACAGCAGCATGGTATGAAGCCCCGCAGGTAACTCGTACAGCTCTATGGAACAAAATAAATAATCTCTCCCTGGACTGTGCTGATAGGTGAGATGCATATTAGGCAATTCACACAACAGGCACTTGCACGTTTTACAGGGAGTGACATACGAGAAAAGTGACTGTGTGGATTCACACAGCTGCACTCGACGACAGACACGTTTGCATTTTTGAATGCTTCACCGACCAGTAGCCATGGGTATTTCAAATTTTCAAAACACACGTACAATAATTATCGTGTTCTAAAGAGCCGCGTAAAAAATCAAGTCTTGTTTCGCGTTTTTTGGTGTAAATGTACTTGTGCCCGCCATGATTATCGTGAAAGTGGGCACCCAGCTCGCTTGCACTTTTCCGCCACTTTCAGCCACTTTTCTCGCTCACAGGTAAAATACCATAGCAACTTTCCGGTGCAAGTGGATTATCCTGTCGTGTGAATACCCTGTAAACAGGGAAACAATACTCAAAGTCGGGCTGAATCACACTCAGCAGGTACTGACGACGGGCAAATGCTGCCATTTGGCGGAAGGTGTGTCGCAATGCGCCTATCTTGCGTGACACCTTGCTGGTGAGGTGATCTACGTGTGGAACAAATGAGAGGTTGTTATCGATAAGGATACCAAGGCAGCGAATTACACTCACTTCCCTTAATTAAGGTAGTACCACCCAGCTGAACAAGAACTGGTCTGTGTACGTCAGGAGCATTCTTCGGCAAGATCCTCATGACCGCGGTTTTGTCAACATTAACGCTCATGCCCAGTGATCTTAGTTCATTGTGTAGCTTAGCGAGAACGGAGGACACGGCATTGGCGCATACTATTGGATCTCGTGAGGAAGCGTACAAAGTCTTGTCATCGGATGCGTCCCAATTCATTTTGTGACCAAGTGGACACAGACTCATTCCCAAGGCCATGGTGTTGCAAAGCTATCCGTGTGACTTCGACGACTTTTAGAGAAAAGCAGACGCCTGTGAAAGCTGATAGAAGACGGCATTCACTCCTAAATTCAAATAAATTGGCGATCTTGAAATGCTAAAATAATTCTCAAACAGAAATCGATCGATCGATCGATGTGCCGTGTATTCAACAACACGTGGCTTCAGTGCAATGACTTCCGCGTCACTCACACCGTTTCACGGTGTTGTGTGTGTGTGTTCACAACTTCACATGGCATGAGCCAGTCAAGTGTCAGTCAGTTCTGCAGAAAACGCAAGCTCCAGCAACAAGTCGTTTGACGCAGCCACCTTCTTTTTATTGTAGCAGCGTGATCACCAAAACAATGAAAAAATGAAGAAAAATATTTGACTAGAAGATTTGTTGGGATTTGAACTCCCAACTTCATGGTCAGCAGACAGCATTCATAACCACAAGGCCAAAAGGGAAGGGATAAATCGTAAGTTTTGATAACAAATCGATACTGGCTTCCAGGGCAAATTATAAACCATGGGAAAAGGCCAGAAACCTGGCCGAAATTCATACTCCTTAACGGTTGGTCCAATTGTTCCGAAACCTTCAAAGAACAATTTGCCGTGCCCTAACAAGCCATTTTATGTACTTTGTTGTCCAAATTTGCCTTATCTTCAAACTTTCTAAGACCCAAACCTGATTGCTAATCTTTTAGAAACAGACTGTAGTTGTCGAACGTCAGTACTGTCGGTCAGTTTTGCGCAATGTTATCGCATGAGCTGATTGTCAAGTAACTGGTGGTGTTAGTGGACGTTATAGCATAACTTGTAGTTCATTAGTCCTTTTTCTTTACTATAAATGAATTATCACATTTCATTCTAAGATCGTTCTGTTCCGATTGCAGCCGGTTTAATTCCTCCGATCAGAATCTGCTCGGTGACTTTATTTATTATTTTCTTTCTTTCTTTAGATTAGAAGCGGTGAGGCCTCCTGCAGTTTCATACAGAATTACAGATGGAGCGGATTCGCTCCCTTCTATTTACACTGCAACGTTCGAACACATTTTCGTAGTTAAAACAACGTTTCGGCATATAGCCCTCATCAGGTTTGCAATGATGTGCACTCTACAAAGGAGCAGCAAATATACTGTGCTGTGCTGTGTTTGCGCCAAATGTGTCAGCTACAAAGGTGGCGAAAGGGATTGGTGATATATTAATATCCAGATACGATATATTCACAGTAGTGCCCAGCCAGCATTAGTGTTTACTTGCGGCCGCAAGTTGCGGATTTCAACAGCTTCTCGCAGTTTTCTGCTTGCTCTGTCGCCTGCCCTTGCCAGGACTGACACAGCCGAGAACACACTATCCGCAGCAGCTATACTCTCGCCAGAATGTTTGTCGCGCACGTGGTCACCCCATGGCTTATCTAGAGTGCGACGGCGTGCCTCGCCATTGTGCTCCCGAATTCTTGTTTCCAAGGAGCGTTCCGTCTCCCCTACATACGTTCTTTCTTTATTACAGCATCTCAGAGCACAGTGAGAACACCGGCCAATACAAAGAGAGAGGGTGTTAGCCAACCACGGCAAGGCAGGGAGAAGGGGAGGAGAAGAAAAAGGAACCGGCATGGATAAGCAGTGATTACAACAAAATGAGAAACACAAAATCAAAGTCAAGGCGCAACAAGGCTCTTAAAAAGGCGGAGGGAAGAAAGGTCCTTAGCTTCTTGGGGAAGTGCAAGCCACGCAGAGTACGCAATGAAAAAGGGAGAGTGAAGTAGAAAGGAGGACTTAGGTTTCGGAAGGGAAAGGGAGTTTCTCGTGCTACGGGAAGAGAACCAGTTGAAACAGTGGAGGTGAGGTGGACACAGATTGAGTTTGAGAGAATGGATAAGGGTGACAAGATGTGAATTACGTCTCTTAGACAAAGGGGTAGTGTCAGCAAGGGCATAAAGGGTGGAAGATGGAAGCATGCGGGGTTTTCGGAGGAGGATTTTGAGAACTTTTTTTGTGGTGATTTTCGAGCTTGGCAGCACGGGTTGTGGAAATTCCAGCCCAAGCAGTATCTGCATAATCAAAAATGGGGCGTAGGTAAGCTGAGTAAAAGAGGAGTTTACAAGAGGGAGATGGTAACAGTGAGAAGAGAGGATTCCTAAAGATGAACTTGCTCGTTTACATATGTAATCGATGTGGGGTTCCCATGAAAGATTAGAGTCAATGAAAATGCCAAGATGCTTATGGCTGGAGACTATGTCTATTATTATTATTATTATTATTATTATTATTATTATTTCTCCTTTATTCACTTCTTTCGAAGGCGATAAGCCAGACCCACCGGGAAATATTTCTATGGGTGGGACAGCAAAAAGAAAGTGAAAAAAACAAACAAAAATAAATAAATAAATAAAACCTAAGAACCAAAGGGACAAGAAATAGTAGAAGGAAGAGGAAGAAATGAAAGAAACTCAATCCGAACTCCAACATCAAAACAATAATAAAGAATTTGCAGCGACAGGCAAAATACATCAACCAATGAAGAGAGTAACAAAGGAAATATCAGTCTTTATCAGTCGTTATT